AAGTTCAGTGTCAAACATGGTTTCTTTTTAACATATCATTTAGACAACTGCACAGTTTTCTTGTCGCGCGTACACTGTATATGTACTTACTCTAAATGCAGGAAATACCTTAGAGCAAGTAGTATGTCTATCTAAATCAGCACACGCTCGATCTAATAAAGGCAGTTTACGTGGCGAATGCTTTAAGAACAGCATAGGTGAAGAACATACCTAGTCTAGACTAGTTTACAACTATAATTTCGGTTTCACCAACTACGCAACACGATGTTTCATTAGAATGACAGATGATCTCTCCCTGCTCCGTGGTCGGTTTAGCTTTCTCCTGTCGTCTCCTCGTATCATGTTCTTGTGAATAGGGTAAGAATCGATTGGAGTTCATGAGGGCATAGAGGATCAGGTCACCGCTATATATAGTATTGAGTAGAATTTCAGCTTGCCGATATACGAAGTAGACAGAGTTCAGGTCCCGGCAAGGCCATACTGCCGATAGCATCTCGTCTATTCATTGTCAAAACACTTTACTCGAATGCTAGCGCACAAATAAAGTCGTGGAAAATGTCTTCTGCAATAAGGAACCGTCGTTGCGGGAGGTGGTCGTGATTGCCACCGCGTGAGAGTCGAACTATTGTGCTGCCCCCTTTCCACGCGCATGCACGCAGCTGAATTCAGATGCGATGACCTACGTAATGCAAATGTTGCTCGGCTATCTAAGATAGGAAGTGCGTTAGAACTGACGCGTCGGGCTTGCTATTACAGTGCCAGTTTGTGCGCATTTTCGCGACGTGTCTCGACATTTTATCGCAAGTAAATGTTATTAGCACAACGACACATGGGAGAGGTTGCGCACAATCTGATTTCGCTCCCTGGGCGCCGGCCAGGACTGGTTAATAATGTGCAGCGCGTTTGAGATGTAAATTTGTCGACGAAAAAATATATCAGTCGGAATAGACTTTCACAACGACGTGACACATGACATCATATCGCCTGCCCGGAGTTTCTTAAGAAAATCGATAGCGTCTCTGCTTTCCACACATATCAGACTAGCATGCGAAGCCCAACTTTAAGCGACAGATATTTGAGAAGAGAACGGGTGTGTAGAGAGCGGGGGAAGAGTGAGAGGGAGGAGAAAGACGTAGCAGTGCTGTCCAGTCCGTGCGACAAAATTCGCCAGTATGAGTATACGTAATGACTGGCGCCAGCGGGCGAGCGCATATTACAGCATTGGAATTCTAGGCGACATGAAATTTTAATTGTATATTATTTTAATTTTATATTAAGAACAGAAAACCGGGAACTGCGTTTTGTGCGGAAGGGGTGGGCACATGAGATCATAGAAAATTTTAAAAATGATATTTGAAACGCAGCATAAATGTGAAACCCTCTGAATCCCCTGTGCCAACGGGGCTGAAATCACACGGTTTCCCCCCACACTCAGTCATGACGTAGGTCCATGCATGGTCTCATGGCCGCAGTGAGGCGAGTATTGGCCTTCCGATGGGCCGAGTGGTAGGATAGAGAGAAAGCGAGAGAGAGAGAGAGAGAGAGACAGTATGAGAGTGTAAGAAAGAGGGAAAGCCATAGACGACATGTTACAGAAAGGTTTCTGGGCACACTATAGCGAGTCTGTATAGGTGCGTGCCCGAGCATATATTATGGTTAACGTTGTTAAATATCGTTAGTTATAGACAACGCATTGTTTGCGCTGAGTAATGAAAATGGTACATTAATTACCGGTGTAATTAATGGGGCCATAATCAGCCGTTAGCCAGTGATCTTGTCTAATAAGTACTTGTTGTTGACAATTTAGTCGGACTCAAGGCAACCATCATTACTTTATATTGCACGCACATATGCATGTTACGTTCTAAAGCGCAGTACAAATGTACTGATGTTTACATTGCAAAACAAGTTTATACATTTCTGCGTAATATAAATATTCACCCATCTGTTGGCTGGTGTTAAATCAATGATAGGGTCATAACACTGTCGTATATCGGCTCTTACTTCGGAGTGTGAGTATAACGAAACGAATGCTGAATTTAAGAACTCTTTGTAAATGTAAACCTTTTGTAACTTTTTGTAACTTTTTGTAACTCTTACAAAGAAACTTTTTGTAATGGAGCAGGCGTTGCTCGGAAGGACATCACGGTTTGCGTTTTTTTATTCATTCTCATAGTAATATCAAATCTGAACATTTTAGTTTGCCCTGCGTTTCAGAAAGCAAAAGTTGTCACCGTTTTCATTGTGCTCAATGTAGTAAAATGCGTTGCGTAGCATTTCCTGTGTGCGCAATGTAAAAACATGGTAACCATACAACTTGCAATTCATTAGCGTTGGCGCCCAAAAATACAAAGATTTGGTCACGCATGTTATAGGTTTATTCTGTTTGCAATCTTCTTATTAGATGGGCATTGTCGAAAACCACATTTATCGATATAGAAGTAAGTGAGTGTGGAAATGAGAAGCTAAAAATTTGAATACGGAAGCATTAGTTGATTGAACGACTACTGTGATTGTATCTGTACGGACCAAAATAAGTAATTGAACCAAAGATCTCAACTGTACATAATATATAGAAGTATGTAATATGCTTTGACCGCATCTGCCAAGTAACCGTAGCGTTTGTCAACCTCTTGCAGATTAAATGCCCGTATTTTGATTAATTAGTTTATCATTCAGTAGCTTTACGCTATTAACACCTCTTGGATCATCATTTCACTATGTTAATGTTCATCTGGTGGCATTTCATTAGCTCGCATAACATGGTCGATCTCACTACATATTGTATCTGATAGACAAAGCTATTACGACTACATACATCAATAATTATATCGGTTCCTATGTGCACTACACTGCAGAAATTTTGTTACCCTAGCATAAATACCATAATAATAATAATAATAATAATAATAATAATAATAATAATCGTATAAATCCCAGTACTAAAACAAATAAGATTTACATTTGCTGTAAATATATAAAAATAATGCAGACGCAATAAAAGCATGCACATGTGTCCTTTAATCTTGAAATGGCATGAAATATGCATGTACTTCTCGCTTGCCCTGAATGTGCGTGCACTCGCTATCTACAAGATAAGCGCAATATCTGTGTCTGGGTGCCGGATCTCCTCTTAATCCTAAACTACCGGTTACAACTATACGTGGCATATAATATACACAATGTATATATATATATATATATCTTGGCGCGCACCCTGTCTGGTTTTAGGTTATAGAAATTTTACTTTGCGACGACAGAATTTGTAAAAACACGGAAGACAGAATTGGTCAATCAGCTCACAGTTTTCTGTCAACCGGTTAACGCTTTTTTTCTATATAGTGTTCTATATTTATATTTATATCTGTATTTTTTAGTTTTATTTGTTTCTATATAATATTGACAACGACGCTTGGTTCAAACAGTACACAACGAGAAAGAGAAAAGAAAACTTCGCTCATCTACTCCATAAAAAAATGTAATGTTTTGTACGCAACGATATTTTCATAATGGAGTTATTTGCACACTATCACTATGGCACGCGTGCCACAAAATGACACACTATCTCTATGCACACTGCATCTCTACACTGCAGATAGTGCTTTACGCTAATGTAATTATGGTTTTCTTTTTAAAACTTATTGCTCCACTGCTGCATTCATTATTCAAGTAGCACTTGTGATTCTCTACCTTCCTTTGAAACATAAACATCATGTTTTGGTCGCGAAGGCAACCCAGGCAACGCCGGGTCCTCCGCGAGTCTATTTATGTAATACACTTGCGTCTACGTTTTTATTGAAGCATGGATCCTGTTTACTAATACAGGAGACGCGTTTATGCTTGAATAGATTTACAGGCGTCTTTCACTTGCCGTGAATAAGTGAGTATTGAATAAGAAGCCGTTTTCTATCATTTTTACTATAAGTAATTGAAAAATTTAAGCCATTGGAAATGTGTTTACAGTGAATAACACACGCAGTCCATACGGCTGAATTCTTTCTCTGCCCGAGAATTCTTTGGTATTAGGATACGTGCTATAAATGCGCATCCTGACAGTCTGGCTGGCATTCTCTGCAAATTGTGTGAATTTTGGTATCGGGAAAAGTAGATAACGTGTAAAAAAATCTGCACTTAATAACTAAAACTAATGTTATTGTATGTAATAATTGTTCATGCATTATTGCTCAGTCGAGGAACCGTCGCGATCGAGCGTCTTAATTGTGCGCCTAGAAATATGTGATTTGCATCTAATCTTTACACACAGCTAGGTCTAGTGTGGAAATCCTTGAATGCTGCATTTATCTTGTTACGAATTTTCAATTAACAGCTCGAAATCTAACTATTTTGATTGTGCTCTGGGATGGAAAATTTTCGTATTTGCGTCGCACGTGAAGCTCATTACAGCTACGATTAGTTGCGGTTGCAAGCCCATATGTGAATACAATGCATGAATATATCTCGTGTGGTGCAATATGAATATGAAATTTTCAATCTTGTCAGATAATGTACGTTTTTACTGCCCGTACTGTATAGTATAAGATGTAGATTCCATTTAAAATGTGTTGGATGAACATTTTTATTAGGCAGTGCCTCATGTGTACTGGTTAATTAAAATATTAGTGCCAGTGTAGTAAATCGAGTGGCGAATTCAACGGGGGCAGATGGCGGTCTCCCCCTTCACATTCGTGACTACAGTCGCATTTATTACAGTGCGTAGCAAACATTTCTCATCGTTGAATTTGAGAAAAGGTCTTTCAAAATAAATAGAAACGTGTAGTCAATATCCATCGGATTGCAACCACATTCTTTCATGGAAACATTCTTTGCGGTGTGTCCAACTATCCCCCTGATCTGTGCTCATTGGATTCAGAATTCCTTGACGTGCCCCTGGAATTTTGTTCAGCTATGCGGTTGATGCCACAAATATATTTGTCCACATGTACGATTACAGTTCCATATACAAGTGCATATATAATAAATGAATCGCTTTCTATCCGCAGGTGGCATCAAAGGTTGGCTTCGATGACGAGCAAGTTTTAGCACATGTTGAAGAGCTGATGACGGAACTTGAACCCGAGGATGACGATGGTAACCATGGCGATGACGACAATGATGATGACGATGATGATGCTGTCGACGTCAGTACGGCGAAGGATGAGGAGATTGAGACTGATTCCGAGGAGGATGGAGAGGACATGGAACACTGACACCACCTAAAACGAATCTCCATACGATTTGCGTGCATGACTCGATTGAATGTGGCGGCCGATTACCACCATTTTTTTACCAACTTGCCAACCACTTTGTCTGTCTCGAACAATTAAATGTGTGTGAGTAAAATTGCGCAAGACATGACGAGATTTACGATAAATTAGCGTTGTTTTATTAAGCTACTGCGCAGAAAACTTTCACATAGATACCATTAACACAGACGCTTCAATGGACTGAGCGCGCATGCGCAGTCAGCACGAGTGACGTCACTGATGGGAATACTTCCCGTGTGATAGGTAATCAAATTTTGTATAAATAATTGGATTTGGTATTACGTTTGATATGTTTTTGGTTATACTCGTGTTTGTGTTTTGTATGCGCCGATGTGGTTGTGAGTACAGTTTCATATACACCGCATTTCTCGACCTGGGAAACGACAACGTGAAGTCTTGTCGAACACAGGAATAGTTGTTGAGTGATGTCACGGCCCGTCATAGCTTTGCCATGCGCCACCTACCGCCCCCGCAGTCACTGAATTTGCGAATTTGCCACAGTAGCAAGTCTGTTCATTTGTTTCCATAAACCTGGATCGTCAGCAGACATCGAGAGAGAGGGTAACTTCTTCGCTGCTGATTCGATGGCACCTAAACAAATTGCTTATCCGTGGGCGTGATGTGCCGACATTGAGTTTTCTAGTCTCTGAGCCCTCCCGTTGAGTACTTAATGAGAGCTTTCGAAATGCCACTCATTGCAGAAGAAGTCGTATCGCCATTAGTTCTTTGTGTACACCTCAGGCACACTAAAATGGATTTTTATCTGGAACGTTGGTAATTTTATGACGCTTAATAATCGATGAGGTAAGTCGTCTTGGCCATGTGCCTATAAATAGCAAATGTGTCCTCCTGGGTCAGACAGTATTGCCGTCTGGGAAGCCGATCCTGGTTCTGCTCGGGTAATATACATAATCGATTGCCGTTTTCATTACATCTGTTAGTGTCTATAAGAAGTGCGCCACATTCGGTATAATCGGTGCTTACACTCCAGTCCTCTTCTCTCTCGCGCGCCAGATTGTGGACAAGATAATGTGACACCTGCTTTAATAATATAGATGGCGTTACACTGGAAGGCAACCCGTGACGATTTGAATGACGCAGACTGACAGCTTTACGGTTGCGCGAAACCGACACGGGGATCTTGTAACAGACACGATGTTTGTAATGAGTATTAAAGTAACTTAAAGTGATTACGTCACCGTAAATAGTAAAAAAGTAACTTTAGCCGCATGACGCGAAAACCGAAAACCGAAAAACCGAAAACCGAAAACCGGAGCTACTTCTCCGACTAAGATTACGCTTCAACAACGATGCGTAGATGATGCGTAACGGTGATAGTAAATTCTGTCGTCGGCTCGCGTAGTAGGTATTGGCATTGCCGCCAGCAGTATCTGGGGTGATACTCCATTAGGAGTGTTCCCAACTTTAATGTCATTAATGGTCATAATAACATATATATATATATATATATATATAATTATATATATATATATATGGTCATGGTCATATATTAGTTTGTGGTTTAATGTCATTTAGGTTAGGGTTAGGGTTAGGGTTAGGATTATCAATCATTAATCATTAATCATTCATCATTATTCAATAATGATATCAAAGTTGGGAACACTCCTAATGGAGCGTTAGCCAGTATCTGACAATGCTCGTTGCATGCACGCGGGGTTCTGGTAGTGTCGCTAGGTGGCGTTGATAGTGGCGATGCTGCCAGAAGCAGCCGACAACGCTCGACGCACACATGCGGGCGCAGGTTCCGGTGGTGTCACCAGGTGGCGCTGCTATTGGCGCTGTCGCCAGTAGCTGCCGACAACGCTGATCACAAGCAGAAAGTTCAAGCGGAGAACAGCGGCAATAAAATTCGCGCCGACATTTATCTCGTTTGTGCGCTGAGAAATTCCACCGGGGCTGCCAGCACCTAACTGCCTATTAATTCTATTGCGCGAGATCCAGCGTGTGGTTCGCAGTGTTGATTTGGGTGCTCCCATGTCGAAATCTCTGTAGCTATTAATGTTGAGTTCATTGTGCCACGTAATTATAATAGCGACATCTGAATTTCAGCAGAAATGATTGCGTTTTTATAAATAAAAAAAGGCATTTTCCGACTGCCTGCGACTTTCTATAATGTTAATCAATCAGAATTACTACATTAAATATGAATTTAATTAGAATGTAGCGTTTTCATATAAACTTGCGACTGAAATAGCGTAGTAAAATACTAAATTAATAGATTATCCTGTTGAGCTTAGCTTGATGCAAATTACCGTCATTTCTGCTCACTGGAAGTCACTATATGAATACGCGGTAATTTGATGCAATTCTCTTGCGAATTTTCTGAGAATTCTTCATTCTTATGGCAATAAATATACTGTAGGTTAATCATGATGGATGGCAGTTTACAATCGACTTTGAGGGAGAGTATCCGGAAATGGCGTGATTTTTAGTTAGCTCGTGGGTAATAGCTGTTGTCCCCATGAGTTAGTGTCACCGGGCCGATACTTGCCGCACGATGATAATTTTCTGACGCAATATCCACGGGAGAAAGAAAGTGTCGTCACGGATGTTGATCTCATTTTTTCTTTCTCTCGCGGACATTTTTTTCTTTGCTTATCTGTACTTTCATACACGTTTACCTGCCGATGTAGCAAATTTGCGGCTAGCAATACGCGCGATATCAATGTCAGAAATAAAACTATTATTTTCGACATGACTTTTCGTCGCGTAGTTCGATGAGCTTTCCGCGCGAAATGTGAATCACCGTTGCTTATCGCGATGGCCCGTCTATTGCGGTATGTCTCGTGCAGTCTTGCACTGCGTCGTACACAGTTATACATATAGTTGAGATGGCTAGCTGTTAGCAGTTGGTCGGTACAGCTGGAGGGTAAGTCGGTTGTGTTGCGTCGCGCGATGCACTCTCAGCGCATTAGTAAATAAATGGAAGTTGTCATATGTTTACGACAGCGGAACACATCGCCCAATGCATTTTTTTTATAATAAACTAAACGAAGCGTGCACGCGCACAACAGAACGCGCGTGCGTGTTTGCGCGTGTGCCTGTATGCACGTAGACATCGGCAGAACGTGCGTGCTTGTGTTTCTTATGCATCTAGACATCAGCAGGGCGTGCGTGCGTGCCTGCGAATGTGTGCGTGCGTGCGTAGGTGCATAGCCGTGAGTCCGAGATGCACAGAATAATGCTTATCGTTTTCCTCTGCAATATTATAATTCTATATCTGCAATATATCTAATATCTGCAATATTCATTGCAATATTAGTAATCCTGCGTAGGCCCTATACGGTTGATCTGTAGAACGTTCTGATTTCAGCGGAAGTGCCCCTACTCGTGAATTTAGCTTACTTGCCGTTCGTTAAGCCGTCTGAACAAAATTGATATAATTTATTTAAAAATAATTCCTCGAATTGTTCTCAGAACTATATCGATAAAAGCAATCAACGTAATAGAATGAAAGCGTGAAAGCGCAGAGACGAAGTATTTTCCCCGTTAATTACTGGAAACATTCGGTATATATACCCTTGCGAGTGCTCACATTTCATTACGCTCTCGCCCCCTTCTGCCTTCGCTTGCATCTCCGGTAACTAGCTATTTTTCTTCTGCTATTTCTCCCGTCGCATTCAAACAGCCATTCGGGATACCTCTATTACTATGCGTCTACTGTCTCTACTAAAGTGCTGATTAATTTAATTAAGCTCTCGCGATTGGGTTAGATGCCTGTTGTATAGGTTTACTAGCTCGTAATTTGAGACATTTTAAGCAGTCACCCGATGTGCGATATCAGTGATGCCGATGCTTCTCCGTGCATTGTTTGACAGTTCGCGTCAATTAATCAATCTAAACTACTCGACCTCAATTATACGACGTTGACAATATTTCGATTATTAAATTAAAGCACAAGTTGTGTATATGTCTTACACCATAATTGGTACTTTAATATATAATGAGTGACACGCAGGCACGCACGCACGCACACTCGCACGCAGTTACGCACCCCTCACACACATGTATATATATATATATATATATATATATATATTGCAGTCATGGACATTTTTATTTTTATTATATAACTGTAGTTATTTACTTATGTTTGTGTTTCAAGTTGGAATTATGTCGATGGATAAATTATTACCGGATTCCTCAGTGACATAAAAGCAATAAGTGCGTGGGTCCTAATCTACAAAAAGATGGCAAACATGTGTGATTTTGTTCAATACTCCTATAGTTATGGAAGGTATTTGTATTCGAACGTCTTTAATGTATACGTATGCGTTATAGCGGTTCCCCAGCACGGTATGCTATAGCTGCAGGCGCCGGCAAACTAGACGAAATACTCTTACCGCCGCTGTTAAATCTCATAGATGTCTCCGACCTCGACAGTATGTTGTCTTGTTAGCTCTGCTTCGCTGTAGAACTGCGCCTCTAATTGCACAGTACGCCCTTGTTATTGGTACAGAGAATCGTTCCGGTCATTACCAAACAAAATCATGTAGGCTCTCGAAGCTGCTAACGCTGTGCATGATGTACAGGCCCGAAATTAAAAATCGGCCTGACTACCTTTGGCCAGCCATGAGCATGGGCGGTTTTCAGATGGCTCTGGTTTTGCTAGTGTCACCAGCCGCACACACTACGGCACAGAGTAGTCACCATTAGAGTGTTCCTCTGTGTTTCCAACTACTTAAGACTTGGCAAGCCTCAGGAGCACTCCAGGGCAATCCTCTAAGACAATCATCGCAAATGACGTCTGACTACAATGCCAGTTGGGCCAAATTCATTGTCAGTTGTTACTAGTCACTATCACTACAAAAATATGTGCGTTCGATAACGCTCATCAAGTCCAGTGTATCCATAGTGCTGTCCGCCATCGCCGATCCTGGTCATGGCACCAGTGAATTGCTTAACACACCACAATCTGTGTAGTAGATTCGGTTACCTGGCTTGATCGATTGCTCTACTCGTCGAGAACGATTAGAATGCCCCGTTGCTCGGGTCTGGGTTACAATACGTACGGCAGTTTGCGTTGTCGGTTCGGTGCTTGCAGCGATACAATACCAAGTACACTAAAGCAGATCATGGCGAATCGTGACAGCCTTTAATGATTGTCTCTCAAACAACTCGAAAATAAAAAAAACATGGACATATTAGGTCTCACCTATTAGCGGATATTTACGGAATACTCCAGTATAAAAATTACCATGAGTTTGTGTTGTTATGGTGCATAAAATAGCAAATCGTTCAACCATAATTATTATTCTAA